TGTACATGCTTTTCTGCTCTGTCTCACGCTTTCACTCTGCCCAAATAAAATTCAATGTAAATTATGTGAAATGTTCGATCAAATATGTAGACAGCATAAACAGGCAGTTGCGAGAAGAAACTAGACACGACCATTTAGTCTCCCCCATCACAGGTATTGTCACAAGTGCCACCACTAGGAATTTAGCACTTACTAATCACAGTTCAACATTAACAAATGCATTATTAAGCATTAATATCAAAAACAAAAGTTGTGCTTGTTAAAGGTTAACGCATAATGAACAAACATGAACTAACATAACAAACAACATTAACTGACGTTAATAAAGTTGAATATATATTATAATAAATTGATTACTAATTGTTTGTTATTAAATATAGTAGTATAGTAAATAGTAAAAAAAATTGCAAATGCAAAAACTAGGATTAACTAATTGGCCATTATTATAAAGTGTTACCAATTTTTGTAGGTGACAACAAAACTGCTGAATCATGGTCTCCTGTTTTAAAGGGCTATAAATATGAGGAAAGACAAAAGCTAAATTCAGTCATTCATCACACTGGGTAAAACCCCAGATAACCTGTGATTTATGGCTAAATGTTTTTGAGCTTCGCAAAATGGAAGGTGGCTGAAAATAACTGTTAAAAGAATGGTTAAAACTGCCCATTTCCACCATCAGGGCATTGAATAATAAAATACACTTCATTCCCTACAGAACAAGACTGGGTTTTTATGCTCCTCTGGTTCGAGTCTCTTTGCAGGTGGGTTGTTTTCTCTAAACGCTACTTTACAAGTGCAAGTAACTAAAACTCGCTCATTCAGAGACGTGCAACAACTTTAATCATAAGGTAAACACAAAACAATAGTTTCCATATGGAGCTCCTCCACGGGACTAGACACTAGTAAACATTCGCTTCATTGGTCTCGAAGCTCTCAGCACCGCCCACACTCAGAACAGCTACCAATCCGACCAATTACAGAGCTTGTGCAATGCATCATTGCGCAGGAGCATATGCATGCGTTTGACGCAGAAGTATAAATCAGCCTCAAGCAATGCCATTGTGAGCATTTATTGAGATTATTTGCTAGTGTTTTGGTGTAAAGTTAAGTTATGTTAAAGTGAACCTACAACTAAAGTATGCTTCGGGAGCTCTCTGCTCGCCCACACTTGTCACCACCATCAAGCCAACCAGTCACAGCTCTTGGGCCTTAGAGGTTCCACATCAGGGTTTTGGCAAAGGATATGCGACTCTGCAACCTACAACAGCATAAATTGGCTTTATAGGTCCCGTGAAATTACAATAAGTTTCTTTAGATGTTAGTATCAGTATGTTAGTCTTACGGATATCTCAAAGATGTAATTTTTTTTTTTTAAGTCACATCATATTTCTCATGTTTCTTTTCAAATCTTGACCAATTAAATGCTCTCTAGTATCTGACGTGTGTCGACATAATCAAGACACTTCTCGTTTGGTTCTCATTTAATGCACATTAATTCAACCACTCTTACTGGCAGAGCTGTGATTAAAAAGGAGAGATTAAAAAAGCTCTATTGGCTGTTTTTAATAAAGGGGAGGAGCTACTATAAACTTTCGAATAAAATAATACACATTTTAAAGCACTTCAAGGGACCTTTAAGTGTAATGAATGAATAATGCGTCTGTTTTTAAACTTCATCAGGAAGTGGCCCAAAAATGTAAGAATCCAAGAATCACAGCTGGAGAATTGCAAAAATTAGTTGGGTCTGAGGTCAGAAATTCATCCCCAATAATAGGTTGAAATGAAAGCGTTTAAAGAAACAAGTCTCTACTCTCATCCAATAACAAACCCAACTGTCTTTAGCTTCCTCATTAATATTTTGTGCAGAGTTCAAGAAACAATACCTACTTTGGTCAAATTTCCTGTACCTATGCATACGTAAACATAACTATATTTGTCCACAAAGTTCTCAGATCCTAAAAGCAGCATTAACAGAATCATATGTCATCCTCCCACTTCCAAATTTCTAAATCAAAACTTCCTCTAAACTTTACACCTCTGACTGCAGAAATAAACCTCATATAAATTCATAATGGTTTGTTTTTGTTAGCGGAGACAGGTTTAATGTCACAAGTTTTTCAGGGCGTGAGTGTGAGTGTGTGTTTGTGCTCAAGACGTGATCAGAGCTAAAGTGAATGTGACATGAAAGGGGTTTCTCTACACATCACCACTAAAGTATTTAGCAAGATTACAGGAACACAAAGTTCTGTGTCTCTACTACAAATACATTCCATGTTTAGCTGCCTGCACTCGAAAACTTCTTAATAAGGTCACTGTTTGATTCGTACAAGCATAACGTATTTGGACAGACACATTTTAAACACATGCTGTTTGTGAAGCAGCAAAAATGTATTAAAAGGATACAACATCTTCATAAAAAAAAATCTAATGTAGTACCTGTTGAAGTATCATCAATGCACTTCATATGATAGAATTACTGTTCTCAAAAGATGACTTTTGCTGCTTGATCAAATAATTTAAAATGAGTTGAAATAACACAATTCTTACTTATTTGGGGGACAACCTAATTGCTTTATGTTCAATCCACTTAATAACTGATTGTGTTAAAACAACATGAAGGAATTGTGTTCAACACAGCATTTTGCACAGTGTGCTAGAGTCACAGCACATTGACAGCCAAATGTTCACTCTTCCAAATGTTTGCAAAATATTTTCTTGGTATTTTTATTTTAAAAAAAAAAATCATATTACCCCCCACCCTTAAAAATGCTTTTAATTTAGCAATATTCAGGACAGAAAATAGAATAAAAACTATGTATAAAACAAACTAAAATATTAATGACTTTCACTATAAACTGCACTTATTTTAAAGGTAAAGCCATTCATTTTTTTATTGGAATATGCTTATTTTCAAATGCAATATTTAGCATTAGCATATTTAAAATTGAATTGTTATTTTACTAAATTATAATAATAAGAAGATTATCTTTCACACTATAATAACAAGCAGGGGCAGACTTAGTGTTTTGGGGGCTCTAAGCAATTCCAGGTATAAGCCATTAGCATTGAAACTCAAAACCTTCTCTTTCTCTATTGATATTTAGGCTTCATGGCATTGTTCGGGGCCCCCTAATTCCCTGGGGCCCTAAGCGGCTGCTTACCTCGCTTATTAGGTGAGTCCCCTATACTGATAACAAGATTAGACCATATAATGTGTCTTATTGTTAGATTACAAAAAAGACAAATGAAGAGTTCAGATACTCTAAATGCTGTCTGAAATGTTCCTGTAAAATGAGCATTTTTATCAGGCTCCTGCATGTAGGTTTAGTATTTCACTTTTATTGCAAACAATAATCTTCTCATGGTCTTCAAAGTGAAATAATTCAACGTAAACAAAGAATAATGCTCTATTATGGTAGTTTTAGATGCCACTTAGGCCCTGTTTACATTAATACGTTTTCATTTTAAAATGGCGTTTTTGAATGAAAACAATCTATGTCCACACTGGAGCTTCACCTAGCATTTCTGAACAGCTTTCTGTCCACACTACTCAGCTGAAAACACACATCACGTGACCATACACACACTCTGACATGCGCTGCAGAGAATGCAGAGGTCTGAGCTCCAGGCAGTCAGCCACAGCTTTGAGCACAAAACCCCAGGTGAGAGCTGCGCACGTCAGATGGTTCATCTAGGATCTACACCTAGATCTAATCTAACTATATTTGTTAAACGTGATATATATTTCATCTTGTTGTCTATATCTGACGACATACTCCCCGACTTGAATCTATTTTGAATCTGTGTTTTGAATCTATTTCTTGATCTCAGGTAACATGTTTTGGCTGAGCACAAAGATAAGCTAATATATTAATTTATGTAACCGCATACACTAATTCTGCATATTGACTGTTTTCTTACCTTTATTTTTAATATTGTATAAACTTATTGTACGTTATACTTTTATATGTTTCGTATTTTTCAATAAAAATGAAAGAAGGGCAGTTATGTTATGGGCTACGTTTTGTTATAAAAATAGCATACAGTGAGGTTGACAGTTATATGAACATGTAGCCACACGACGCCTCAACATTTTTGCTGTCAGTTAAGTTGCTAATGCGAAATGAAATTATGCATTTTTTTGTTGAGCAGGGTCATGTGAGAGGTTATAAAGTACACTGCTCCCTTTGAAAATTTACTGACGTGTCCTCTGGAGTTTGTTTTCCATATCAAACTTGCGAAGTCTGTACTTACAAGGAAAGGATGCAAGACTGAACCTTGTGTAGGCTACTTATTATAGAGGAAAAAGCCCCAATCAGATCAGGCGAATGTCTGCAGCCACGCCTCCGCTTTCAGACATCCACACTGACATGGAGCAGCAGAATTTTAAAATGAAAACAGCCTCTTTGGCATTTCCAAGATGCTCCAGTTTTAGAACTCGAAAACTCCGGCGTAATGTGGATGTATGTGTTTTAAAATGAAAACATATTAGTTTAAATGGGGCCTTTGAGGTGTTTTTGAACTATTCAAATAATAGAGTGAGCAACTGATTTAATTTTAAATAATAAACCGCAGAAAACAATGAAACTTCTTTTCTGATCCCTCTAAAATGATAGCATTAAACATAAGGCTGCCAATATTGTGCCTCACTAAAACAATGTCATTTATTTATATCATAGATCATGACTTCATTTCCTTCATGCAAACAAAACTTCATTTATGACCCTTCATTCTAAAGTGTTCCTGACAGGCCTTATGTGACTCACCTTGTACTATTGTCCCACACTGAAGCAAATTAATGTTCGACGAGAGAAGAATGCGGATGATGCAAGAGTTTCAGAGGTGTGTTTATGTTTGCTTTTAGTTTTGGCAACTGGGCCACCATCTCATTATTGTCACCTCTGTAGGCAAGGTCAGCACACACTTCACACTGATGCATCAGTACTATCAGGAGTGCTTATGAATGGTTTAAAAAAAAAATATATATATAGATTGCAAACCTTGCGAGTTCTTGTGCGGTCCAGGTCCATTTTGGAGACCGGTATCTGTTGAAACAAGCATAAAATCAAGAGTTATAATAGCAGGAGTACATTTAAATCGACCAAAAGCAGCTAAGATTTTATTAACTTTTTAAAGTACATTTTGGGACACTGAAAAGATAAATTTTGATTTCCCATGGTATGATTCATGTCATGTCAAGGTACAAACTGCAATGGTACAAATTTGTTTCTTTGTTCTAAGGTACAATTCTGTCCCATAAAAAGGTACTGCCTCAGTGACAAGGGTGTGTACCTTCTTTAGCACAACATTGTACCATTTTTTTCTGAGAGTGTGCAGTAAAGTCTTTTTAAATCCTTTAGATTAAAAAATTATTATTTACTTTTTCTCTCGCGACTGTGCACGCTGTCAGCTATGAAGCCAAACAATAGTCTATAATAAAAGTGTAATACAAAAACACAACAATTTTAGAAAGCAAAAGTGGACTCCCGGACATTTTAAGAGATTTAGAAACTATTTTAAGCCTCAAAAGGGCACATCTCAGTGGGTCTCTGCAGAGCACGTGAGACTAAGGAAGTGTCGTTACAGTCCTTGCGCACACACAATGAGCAGTATGAAATGGGGTGAGAGAAGATTTTCAACTGGTTAATGATTTATTTGGGAACATAATTTTATAAAAACAATTAAATTACTTAATCAATTTGTGTTGAGACAGCATGAAGGAATTGTGTTGAAACCTGCATTTTTTTGTGCGGGATTTACACATTTTTTTAAGGTGACGGGTCGCAAAGAGTTTATTTGGGATGCCTGCATTTAAATAAAGTGATGTTCAAATTAAATAGTTTGTTTATATTATAGCCCATATACATTGTTTGCAACTACTAACCTTAAAAACATGTTAGTAAATGCAATTAATATTTTTTTTTATGTATCTGAGCCAAGTCAGTCATCAAACTGATTTGGTTTAATAAATTCTCTGCACTGTGTCATAAGACGGCATTCCCAAACATCAGACATCCGCATAGAAGACAACAAGACACTGTTGATTATAGTGTGTCATCTGTGCTCAGAGACGCAAGTCATGGAAAAAAGAGCCAGAGTGGTTTTACCAGTTTCAGCAAATTCCTTTTTAATTCTTAGTAATTTGTACTTTGTAGTTTGCCATGAAGTGATGACTTTTGTCCAAGAACGCATGGGATAAAAACAGTGCTTTACTTGCTCATCCTTAACATAGTATTTAAACATTTTGTCATTTGAAATTTGGATGGAAACACAGTTACTGACAATGTGCCAAACAATTTAAATGAAATCTACACTCGCTTGACAGTTTATTAAGTACGCCTGATCTTATGCTTTCCTGTATACCATATAATACACTCTCACAAATCTTAAATCACTGCAAAACTGGTTTACACCTGCATTATTCAACCTGCATTGGTTACAAATTCAATACGGAATTCATTACAAAGCACTACTGTAAGTTTTTAGGGGTGTGCATGCTCTATCACTGGACTTGATGATTAAATGTACAAACATAATGATAATATCAAAGATAATGTTCTTTGCACTCTAATGATAAATTACTTACAATTCCACATCTCATCTTTAATATAGAGCCAATCGTGCTTTTTCTGTGGCAACTCTGGAACGTCCTTCATCTGATGAACACTTAAAACACTTCTTTTGCCAAGCTTTTGAAAATATATAACTGTTTTGTGCTATTTTTTTAATTATTGCTTGCATTTAGCTTGTATTCCATTAGCATAATCTGTAATTTTATTTCCTATTATTTATTATTTTTATTTTATTATTATTATTATTATTATTATTTTTGTAAAACACTTTGGGTCCAGTTATGGTGTTAAAAGCACTCTATGAATAAAAAGTCGAGAATTTAGTTGGTTTCTAGAACATAACAATGATTTCACTAAACTCAAAAGTCCTCTTTTAGATGTGCTGGAACAAGAGACTTACATCATGAATCTAAGATGGTCTGCTTTGTCCACTCGTAGGCTCAAGCTTTGGAATATCTTTGTTTATAAATATATTCTGGATTTACTCCCCTCATATCTCCAAACTTACATTTGTAAAAAGCCTTTCTTTAGCTATAGCCTTCGGTCTCAGGGAGTTTGTTTATTATCTTTATCAGTGTTGCGTACTGAAACGGAAAAAAGCCTTTTGAATATGAAGCACCTTTTGCATGGAATAATCTCCAAACACAGTTGCAGTTTAAAGAGTTGGTTTCACTACATGCTTTTAAAAAGATTTTAGATGATTTGGAGTTTGAAACATTGGCCTGTAGATGTTCTGAAGTTTTAAAGTATCATTGTACGTGTGTTTTGATGGATGAATGAATGATGTTGCCGGTTTTTTGTTTTATTGTTTGTTAGTTAAACCCATGAGAATTGTATACTGTCTAATCTTGGCCCAGTTTCTGTAGAAACTGTGTGATGCTCTCGTGTCAATATGGACTAAAATCTCAGAGAAATGTTTCCAGCCCCTTTTTGAACCTACAACATGGGTGCATTCAGATTAAGTTGCATCAGATTACATGTGATTGATTTGACTACTACGTTTCAGTCATTATAATGTATTATGTGGAACTATTCCAAAAGTGCCAATGAATACAAGTCGACATTCACTAACAAACTTCAGAATGTAAACCTAAATAACATACGATCATAACTAAATATGAGAACAATAATAAATGCAACCTTTCCCCAGGATTTAGCTGCACTTGTCCTTGAAATAATGATGGTTGCATGAAAACATTTTAGCATGCCATCATAAGTAAATTATGCGGAACTAAGGCACACAATAACTTGATGATGCAACTTTCAGGACTGCCAGGTCAATATGAACCAGCCAAGGGCAACCTTAACTATGCAAAGCAGTTTAGCGCACACATTAAGTGCCACAATGTATCACAATGTAAAACAAAATATTCATTTCAAAATTTACGATGGAAAACTGCAGGCTTCAACATTTTTCATGCTTTTTTTTCAGTTGTAAATTCATTCAGTCAAATCTTTGACCCTAGTATGTCAAAAATAATAATAATAATAATAATAATTTCAAACCTGAATGCATCCAATGATTTTTTGTGTTAAAAATGTATTCAAATTAGTGCATGTTTAATTAAATGTTCCACTTGCATATTACAACATTTTAGAAAACTAGCAATGCGAAAATGTTTGAAATTCCTGATGTAACAAGTCAAATGGGGAATTTTGGTGATAACTTTATTTTATTTTTTTTATATATTTTGCAGTGTCTTGCCTTAATGATGTATAGTGAATTACCCAGCGTAGCTTCCTTTATCAATACATTATATAAAATTCCAACCATTTCAGTTAAAATCTGTTGGAACAGATGTTGCCAGTCTTTCCCCTGGTTTTGAATTTTTTACATAAAAAAGCAATTTATGTAGAAATATTCTTCTGATGCTTGAGAACTCTGAAGTGTCAAATAACCTGGCCTGTCCTGGGATCAGCTTATGAATACACCATCAGTCTAAAGTTTGGGATGAGTAAGATTGCTTTATGTTTATGTTTTTAAAGAAGCCTATTCTAGTCACATAGACTTTATTTGTTTGATCAAAAAGGTAAAAAAAACTGTCATGTAAAAGATAAATAAATATTACAATTAAAAATAAGTGCTTCCTTATTGAATGTTGTTTTTAAATTTAAATTTATTGATAAAGTTCTGAATCATTACTTCTGTCTTTCAGTGTCACATGATCATTCAAAAATCAATTCCAACATGCTGATTTGATGTTCAATTTATATCAGTTATTGAAAAGAAGGTTAAAATATTTGCTTAAATTATAAATATCTTTAACTCACTTTTAAACAATTAAATGTGCCATCTTAACCCTGGGCCATGGACGGGTACCGGCCTTTGGATCAATTGGTTGCTCAAGTACTCATGAATTATTTCCGTTTTATTAATAATCCGAATCTGAATGATCTATTTTCTCGAGAAAGGTCTGGCTGCAGAGTTGCTCTTGCATCTACAGGCTTGCACTCTCGGGCTTGCATGCTCAGGCACCCACGCTTCTTATGCAAGTGACGTCATTTACAAACAACACCAGCACCTGTCACTTGAAAATCTACACAAATAAAACAAACGTAAGTTTCCAGTTCGTTTGCGTTGACAGTGACGACATTGTCAAATAATTCTTAGTACTTAAGTTGTACACCATGACAGTCGAGATGTCGAGATCGACTGAATAAGGGAACGTCTCGACTCGCTTAACGCAAAGAAAGTGACACAGATGATGTGTAACATTACTGCAGAGCTGTTGTAAGGAAAGCATTCATGGTTCGTTACGATCTGTTTAAGTAACTATAGCAACTGTGGCACTCGTTGCTGTATGTTGCCAGAAACTACAGTGAAACACTTAGAACAAAGGCACTGGAGTAAGGGTGACAGATAAGAAGTTTGTTGCAACGATCTTAATGAAATCCGTTATCTCAGGGACACCCTTAAGTTAAATTACCAAAAGACTTTCATGCAAGTGGCCACAGGTGGTGATTGTAAATGATGTCACTTGCCTGAGCGTGCAAGTCTGAGCGTGCAAGCCTGTAGGTGCAAGTGCAAATCTGCAGCCAGACTTTATTGATTCTCTCTGCTACAGTGCATTCGGAAAGTATTCATAGCGCTTCACTTTTTCCACATTATCTTATGTGACAGCCTTATTCCTAAATGGATTAAATTCATTTATTTCCTCAAAATTCTACACACAATACCCCATAGAGCCAATTTGAAAAAAAGATTTTTTGAAATTGTTGCAAATTTATTAAAAATAAAAAGCTGAAAAGTCACATGTACAGAAGTCACATGTCAAGAACTGACCAAGCAGCTTCATACTTTTTATGGAATATACACATTTCGGTAGACTACCTACTTCAGAAAAACAAAACATCCCAAACACTGCAGGAATTTTTAATGTTCTCCATAAATAAGCCATGTTTTGTCAGCTTGTCATCGTCTGATAAAACGGTTGATGGTCGCATAGCAATCTACGTACTGTAGAACCCACCTAACATTCACACCCCTCCCGAGCCACAGTACAATTATCAAGCGTCGACCAGTCTATGGTGATAAAAAAGGTTGGGGACCACTGCTCTAAATGAATACAAGTAAATACATTTTAATGGTAGCTTTGAACGGTACTGTGTCAGTGTTTCCAAAAACATATAGGAATGAACAGTTTTCCAGATTGAAATTAATAACAAAATGTTGTTGAACTCAAATCATCATATATGCATATGATTTCTGAAGGATCATGTGACACAGAAGACTACAGTAATGATGTCAACAGGGATGCTCCAATCAGGATTTTTGCAGCCAATACCTAGTAACGATTCCTTGTCATGGTGATCGGCAGATATCGAGTACCAATTCTGATGCTTCAAGCTTTATAATGAAAAAAGGGTATGATGCGTAAGTGGAATTTTCTTCTTACCTAAGAAAATAAATTAAAGATGCAGCATATAATCCCTTAAAGGTGTCTACTATAACCATTTAGTGTGAATATGTCATGGTCAGGAGCTATACAGAAAATAATAGATAAAACAGATTTAAAAAATTGGTAAGAAATGATTAACAATGCAATTTAGAAACATTACAAATGATGGAAGAAGAATTCAAAGTATCTCAATGAAGAAAAAGCTTGGAGCCCATAATTGATGCATAAAGCCTGGTTTGTACTTGACGTGTCCGCTTGTTCGCTTGAGTGCACGCAGCGAATATGACGTCATCATGGAGTTTGCAGATGTTCGCTTTGGGTGCGTGCGACATGATTTCGGCTGGCGGTGCGTACAGCATTTTTTGAGACTCGAGCGAACAGTGCGATACATTGAGATAACCAGATGATCAATAACTCTTTGCTAGAAATTGCAACAGCCGTGGGAAAGGAGAAAGTTTTTGTTAAATGAGTTTTGAGTTTTTAATGATGAGTTTTTAAAAAATGAGTTTTTAAAAAACAAAAGAGGCCATGGCAAAAGTGAGCCACGTACACAATCACCGAATATGTTTTTTCCACCAGTCATAGATTTTTACTCTAATTTATTTAAACAACTGTGAATTTGAAATAATTTATTGGTTACAAAAATATAATAAAGGAACAGATTATTTGTTTGATAACTGGAAAAAATTATTTTACAATATTATATATTTACAATATTCTGATGCCGTTTCTCTAGGCTTTATTGGTGATAATAGTCAGGTATGTTATTGCCTTTTTAGCATAATAGAGGACAGAAACTAGCCAGACAGTAATGTGTGAACTGTGGAGTGGGCTAAATCTAAAAAAAAAAAAACATCTGTATTTTTAAGTAAGTGTGCTCTTTTATTTTGCTTTTATTCTTGCCATAATAAAAATACATATTTGTAGAGCAACTCAATCTGTTGTCATTAATATTTCAAAAAACTTTAATAGGTAAAACTGTCCGAGATATGAACTAAAGCAAGTTGTCATAAAAATCATCAAATCTAGATCAAATTTTAATCCACATTTAATAATAAGAAAAGTTATTTTGAATTGTAATAAAATTTCAATTTTACATTTAAAAAAAAATAAATAAATAATGAATCAAATAACTGTTGGTGAGCAGAATAGGCTTCTTTTAAACATCAAAACAAATCTTACTCATCTTAAACATTCAAAAATTTGGTATATGTTTCACGCATGTTTGAAAGTGCGTGTGTGTGTTTTGGCTATGCTGTGGGGAACTGTTTACAGGAAGTGTGTGCGTGTGTGTGCTGTAAGAGAAAGAAGAACAGGAGAGCACAACTTACCCATGTTTACTGTCATCATCAGGAAGTGACCCTAGTGGCTCCTTTCATCAGGGACGATCTCCACTGCACACACAACATAAACACTGCCAATTAGTCAATTACAGACATAATTGACTTGAAAAACTAACAAACAGAAGAGAAGAGCGATAATACAAAGACCCAAAATCCCCATTAATGTCTGCTTGTGTTTAAACATCACACTAGTGCGATGTTGTTGTTTCAGTGTGTCTCCACCCAGTTGCAAAATTTGCTGAAACTGACTAGATCAGTTGTGATAATCGCACTTGTTTTTTAAGCTATACATGATCATATACTTCATACTGTAAAGCCTGAATACACACATTCTATTGTTATGCAGCTGTTATGGACATTTAATGATGAAAATATGTTTTTATGGTAGTTATTTTAATGTCATTGCTCGTGTAATCATTCATTCAACTACTTAATGATATTAATTCATACACACTAACAAGGGTTAGGGTTAGTTTAATGTGCTTGCTTAATTGTACTGTACTTGCTATAGTAAGTACAGTATATGCAACATTTGTAATAAGAGCACTTTTGTTACTGTTATTATATTTAACTATTCTAATTAATATGTTAAAATATTTTTTTATCAAGTTCAAACAGAAAACAACTTTAAGTGGGACAATTATAATAAAGATTGTTTTTGAGATATTTTACAGTATGTATTATCTCTTATATCATTATATTCAGTTATATCATTATAAGATTATTACATTATATATTATTACTAACTGCATGATACTAGGGAAAACAAGCAATTTTGTTGTTAAGTATTGCAATAAAAATATTTCTTATCATATAGCTAACTTTAAAAAACGATTTTATCAGCTTTTATTCATTCATTCATTTTCTTTTCGGCTTAATCTCTTTATTAATCTGGGGTCGCCACAGCAGAATGAACCCCCCTTTCAGCTGCAACCCATCACTGGGAAACACCCATACACGTCCATTCACACACATACACTACGGACAATTTAGCTTACCCAATCCACCTACACTGCATGTCTCTGAACTTGAAGGGGAAACCGGAGCACCTGAAGGAAACCCACGCAAACACGGGGAGAACATGCAAACTCTATTCCGCTATCCATCTATGCCCTCTATCAGCATTTAGTTATTATAATATATTAAATTATATTATATTAAATTATACTTTTAATTGAAACCTCAGCGGATATTGCAATTCTACTTGGCTGTTGTATTTTTCTCTCTCGTCTTCCGGCATTAGTTTTTATGTTCAGCTCTATGTTCAGCTAACAGCACCTTCTGGAGAGGTGGGGATAAATATAGTAAAGGCCTCATCTGATTGGTCAGCTTTGAATAAACAACCTATGCATGCAGCACACAAATGCTTAATTGCACTTCTGTGCAATATGGATATTGCATATACTATTATGATTGTGATTGGGACTTGTGGAGCTGTGCATTGATGGATTTGCTCAGCAGTGAAATTTAAATCACACTGAACTAAACTAAACTGAACTTCTGCTCTGAAAACTAATCTGACAGTTCCAGTTAAATAGAACTTCTATGTTTAGCTGCTTTGACACAATATACACTGTAAAAGCGCTATAGAAATAAAGATATATTGAATTGAATATTATAACAATATTTTTTGATACATTGTGCAGCCCTGATTATTACTGGTATCTATTATAATGTATATTTTTGTATCAAAGCTGAATTCTCATGCAGATTCAAAACATATAAAGCAAAACTTTCTCTGACTTAAACACTTTTTTTGTATTCTAAAACTGCATTTTAATGTACACACAAAAGTGACATTTGCTGCTTGATCAAACGTATTAAAAATTAGTTGAAACAACACAACTCTTAAGTTTTTGTGGGAACAACTTAATTGTTTAAGTTTAATCCACTTGCATTTGTAAAAACGACAACATGAAGGATTTGTGTGGAAGCCAGCATTTTACATTGAAGAAATTAAATTGCTTTAAAGCTGCTGTTTGTAGGTTTCTGACTCTTCTAAAACATAAAAATACCATTAAATGTTTGTAGATATTTAAGAAACATGCTAAGCAAACATTCTTGTTTATCTGAAAAACAATGCTGAAGTCACAGTTATTTTGCTTGCAAAATGGGCTTTCCGTGCCGGAAGGTCTGTCTTTGTTTTGGTTTTCTTAACCCACCCACTGCCAGTTTAGCCAATTATATTTCAGCACCCCAGGTTGCCTTGTTGGAAAATAGCGATTTCATCCATTCATTCATTCAGGAAGGCTCTCAAAGCATGCATTTGTGACCGAAATGTGAGCTCCAGTGAACAGTAGCACACTCCAAAATGAGATGCAAATTCAGAGTTCCACATGAGGTTATTGATTAGCAAATAATATAAATTTTATGAACATAAACATTAGGTGAGCAAATTACATTGTAATTCTGTGTCCTACAACAGGTCCTGAGTGGGACTCCTTTTCAGCCCTGGAGTTTCAAGCCTTGGACCGGCCCACCTCAGTTCACGACTGACTATATTAAAATAACATTATTTACAATTCAGTTACTAATGACACTATCATGTCTTTTTCAAGGACACAGCTGCTTCAGAACTTCAAATGTTTTTCAGAAATATGAGAACATTAATTTTTTTTAGATATCCAGTCCTATCATTGTACCCCGACATAAGTAACCCAAACAGTGTTATCTTAAATATATATATAATAATTTACTCGGGTGAGGTTTGAACCTGGGTCGGCGGCGTCGTAAGGCAACGTTCCGACCACTAGACTGTCTACAGTATAATCTAATGAATACATATCAAACCTCTTTAACATTATTAAATGTAAATGCCGAATCACTGACATGTGTTGATTTTGAGTCACAGTTCTAAAGTTCAATTTCAAATGGTTTATTTTATTTTCAAGATCTGAGGTAAACTATCTGCTACTGCTTTCAGTAGTATGGCAATAAATGTTGTGTAAAATGACATTCAAACTCACATTATTTGCATTTAACAATGAATAAAGCACTTGAAGTGTACCTGAGGAAAGAACTGTCAGTTTATCCTGTTGTTCACCTGTGAGAAGTACAAGCCGTTTCTAAAATATAAATTTCAGGTGTTGGTTAGAATAAAAACTAATTTTAATAAGGAAAATTTTCCTTTCATCACGTGCCTTTGCTTTAATTTAGAACACAACTTAAATCAGCTTTTAGACTTGATAGTCAATCTTAAGGGTGTCACGATCCTCCAAATCCTTGATTCGATTGCATTTTCGATTCTAAAGTCACGGTTCAATTGGATTTTCGAATATGAATAATTAATTAATTAATTAATAACAAATTAGTTATTTGTAGCCTACCGTTTAAACTACCTGACCTGCATGGTCTTTGTTTTACCCATAAAACAAATTATAAATGAATAAAGGTAAGTTACACACATAATTACCACCTGTCAATCACTTTTTCTGCGGGACTCGTGAATAGGCAGTGATCTGTGTCATTATAATGGCGTCGGTAAAAAAGCTGCACAAACAACAGGAACCAGCCAGTATCTGAGATGTTCGCTAAAATGACTAAGTACAAGAGAGTGAAAGATTGAAGCGGTCTACTGACCCACTGACTGCCTGGACCTGCTGTCTCGAGTGCATGACTGTGTGTGCATTTGTGTCTGTGTGTGAATGAGTGTGTGTTGTCACGTGATGTGCGTTTTCAGCTGTAGTGAGGAAGGAGGGCTGCTCAGAAATGCTACACGCCAGTGTGGATGTGGATCGTTGTTGTTCTAAAATGCTATTTAAAAACAAAGACCTATTAGTGTAAACAGGGCCTGAGTGTGTATTTTTAGCGAGCGGATTTGCAAGGGGGGCGGGGCGGAGGATCACGATGCGCCCATCTTCTATCGGCCCAACCCTAATACGTAAATAGCAGAGCTTGCAAACTGTGTTTTGTCAACATAACTCACTGGAAATCCAAAATACTTCCACACCGGCGACTTCATTGAAAGAGAAGAGAGTTTAAGTTCTGTTGATGGGTCTCCTGCGTCTGCAGTTCAACAAGCACTTCAACAAGCTTGGCAAGCCAAGCTGACGTGACATGGGGGCGTGGCAGCATTGACGATTCTATTTTTTGATTGGATAATCGAAATTGAGCAAAAATTTCCATCGATTTTGAATTAAAAATCTAAACCGTGACACCCTTAGTCAATCTGCATTCTGCACTTGCATTTGTTTTGTTCCAAGAATGTAATACCTAGTTCGACCACTGAGTGTCAAACTTACAAACTGCACTTTTAATTATTTAATTTAATAATAATAATTGTTATCAAAAACAACAAACATTTATATCTTTTTATGTATTTTTTGTTGTAAACTTGATTAGTTAGTTTGTTTGCTTGTTTGATTAATATGCTTATTTATAAAAATAATCGCAATTCCCAAATGAAATTGTTTAAATGCAATAGCATAGTTTCATATTTCATCATACCACTACATCAATCCCAATTGTCACAGTATATCATGATGACTAACTGCTAATAAATCAGTGTGTCTGACAACAGACAGCAAACACAGCCACCGTCTCCCAGTCTCTGTCATTTCACATCATTCTTCAGGTGAGAGACGCTCGTACTGTTGTCTTTGAACACACACAGTGGCCCCTTACCCTTGAGACATTGTTAAGCCACACTGAGCGGGATAAAAGTGAAAGGAACACTAAAGGTAGCGACAGCGCACATCTTCAAAGACGAGCCACAGAGCTTTTAACGCCAGCCAGTGAATCGGTCACCAGCCGCCAGGACCGTTTCTCATATTCTGACACATGAAAGCAACACAAGGACTTCAATTTTTTCTTTATTTATAATGGCCAGCATCATGCAACAATATTGACAAGGAAAAAAAAAAGAAGAGTAATTACTGTCTTCAGCAAAGCACAAAAAGAGCTTGAACTCAAAACGGTCAAAGTATAAAAGTGCAGGTGAAAAGGTTATAAACATTCGCACTGAAAATTAGAGCAATCTGTGCTTCCCGGAAAAAAAGAAAATGGAGCCAAATATAGCTGCAATTCAGCAGAGAGACTGTTTCTCTATTGAT